ATATTATGAAACACAAACACAAATAGTGCTTCCTATTTACTTGTAGCACCCTCACTCACAACGACCATCATCTTGCTAGACTTTAATGAAATCTTGCTTAGTTTTGAAACTCTGCATTTTCCTTTTGCTTGCTGAGAAAACAGAAGCTTTGTAAGTCTCATAAAAATCATTGCTGCAGTCTTAACACGGGTAGCGACTTCCTGTATCATCTATCACTAACGTTGGCAACGGCAACTGTAGTAAAAGGGACAAAAAATAGAGAAAGAAATGCAAATTTGTCAAACTCAGTTTACAATAAAGATGGGGGGAGGGGAAGAGTGAGGAGAGAGTAATGACTTTCTTCTGAATACAGTATCTATCATGGCTGCCAGAAATCAGACTGATTACATAGTAACTTTATTAGGTCCCATTTGGGAGGAACCAACAATATTTGAAAAGCCCTGAAAAAAAACACAGATGAGCCTCCCCTCGAACACCTCACTCACTCACACACACACACACACATACACACACGGGACTTTTTAAAAACTTTTTTCAACAATAGACTTTGGAGCTTCCCTTTTGCTGCTGACTCACGGTCCCTAAAACAAGAATTGTGCAATTTGGAATAGATCAGCTGACATAAGAGAGAGATCCCTATTCCCACCCGCCCCCATCCATAGTTCAAGTAAAAGGCAGCACTTCAGAATGCATTTGAAAACAGAATGCATGGCGCTTCCTCATCTCACCATTAGCCTCAAGACAGTAGAAGAGAAATTACTCTAGGCATCATTTTTCTCTCTTCTGTTTTAATAAATTGCAGCTCTTTGATTAAAATGCCAAGGAGGGTGTTGATCTCTGTCCCCTTTCTCCTCCGCCTCCTCCTCCTCCTCCTCCTCCTCCTCCTGGGATCCTGGGGCTTCCTTATACATTTGGCTTCTTGCAAACAGACAGTAGAGGGCCTTGCAGGTCTCTGTGAAACCTTGGAGCTGAGGGTTGTATGTGCATGTCTTGATTCCCATGTGCCAGTTAAATCCTAGGCATCATAAGGACAGGAGTAGGCATGGTGTTTTTTGGGGTGTATGTGTGTCTTTCAGCCACCTTTCTGTCCTGCATGAGGACAATGGGATGTTACTGATAACTGGGACGCCACTAGAATAGAAACCTTTTGGAGGGAGATCATTTTGGCACAGGAGATCATGCAGTGAAAAGGGTGCCTGCAGAGATTTTGCCCTGTCATTCTTACTTCCCTCCTCCAGGATAATTTAATCCATTTTCGGGAATAACAGGTAAAAAAGGCCAGAAATCATTTCAGAAATGTCAGCCCCATCCTTTTTAGGTAGTGCATTGCATATGTGAATCTGGGGCCCATATTTTCTCTATGGTGTTTTAAACTCCTAAGGAAGTCCTTAGGAAAACCACCAGATTTGAGGCAGGCTTGGGATATTTGGCTATTCGCACAGCCAAATTTAAAGATACAGTGACAATAAATGCTGTAGGAGGAGAGCCATTTTAGTCTATGTTAACCAGTAATCAGGGAAGTCTAGCAGCATCTTTCTAGACTAAAAAATTATTTTAAAAGGCATGAGCTTCATGCATCTGATGAAGTGAGCTATAGCTCACAAAAGTTTATCCCTTTTAATAAAACTCTTTCGTCTGAAAAGATGCTACCAGACTTCTTCTGATTTGTGACAATACACAGTATATGTTTGTGTGTGTTATGCATGTAGTCCTACAAAGAGGCTTGTGAGCTTAGACCAATCTTTCCAAAGCTGGTTTGAGGTTTTCACTCCCCTAACACCCAGCAAGCATGGTCAAAGACCAGGATAGGTGGAGTAGTGTAGAAATCCACCAAAGCTGGGTGAAAGCTGGGTGAAAGCTGATTTAGGCTAAAATCGCAAAGGTGAATGGGAAGGGAAAGAAGCCAGGAGGATCCATGGGTGGAATCTAAGAACTGGAGATGTCTTTTCATCTAAGATGGCTGATTTAGGGGCAGGGGTGAGATTTTGTTTGTTTATTGCTGGTATGCTGCCCATTCCTGTAGGCTCTAAGCAGCTAATATACCTTACCAACCCCCATATACATTAAAATAATAAAAAATAAGCACCAATAAATGCATATATCCACATATACATATTATGACTGTTGTAGCGAGGGCCTCATACTCTAGTCATATTTGTTAGAAGAACTGGCTTTGCAGATAATGGCTATTATGTTTCTGTGGATCAAGGGGTGAAAATCTATAGTACATAAATGCTTCATGCAATAGACTTGGAGTTGTCTATTGAGTTGTACAAAATTCATTAACAGAATGCAATGTTCAGAATGAATGTAACATCTAAGCTGATCCCACGAGGGAATATTTTTTTATACAAATAGTGAATCACGGAATAAGAGTTATTGTTGCCTAATAACTTCTCCATTACTGCAAGGACACAATTATGCTTTGCATAGAAAAAAATTGCAGGTTTTATCAGAAACCTTGGATGGCCACTCCCAGTCACTGCTGATGACACTGGGCTAGATATAAAGGTGTTTTCTGTGTTCTTCTACCTCTGTTTCTAGGTCCTGTGGCTGTAATCAGTGGAGAAGAGGACTCTGCCAGCCCCCTTCATCACATAAACCATGGTATCACCACACCTTCATCGCTGGATACTGGCCCAGACACCGTAGTGATTGGTATGACCCGGATTCCTGTCATCGAAAACCCACAATATTTCCGACAAGGCCACAACTGCCATAAACCAGACACATGTAAGTGTGTTCTTCTACTTTTTGCTTTATTTTCCCTTTATATGGAAAGATGGGGATCGGGAAATAAAGAAAGCCAATAGGAGAAAGAGACCTAACTGGAGAGGAAAGATAATAGTCTTTGTATGGTCCAGAAACCAGAAGAATATATTTTGTCCTAGAATTATAACATTCATGGATTTGTTATAAAAGGTGACATGATTGATTCACCATCCAATAATCAGTTATTGTAGACACATCATTATCCTTGTAAAAGCTCATCCAAAAAGATCATTACAAGGAAGAGTCCCATTGCCACCTTGTTAGAAACCTGAGTATAGGATACATCAGGAGATTGCAAGGCAAATTCAGTACCTGAAGCCGTGAGAGACCTCCACATTTACTGAGTAAAATAAATAAATCAAGCAAGAAAGCAAGAAAACTCTCTGTCCTGAACATCCCCTTGCTTATAGCACCAGATATGTCACATTAAACCGCACAAGCCTATTGCCTCTGTTATATCTTTACAAAATAGGAGAAGATGAACCACTAGGCCTACTGAAATCAGGGATGAGTGGTGAATCATGTTAGGCCGCCCATGCATAATTTGAAATCATTTGGGAAAAATTGGATTTTGAAACATAAGCTGCAATAGGGAAAGATTCTGTTCTTAAAAAATTAGAGCTGTATGAGAGAGATCTGCAAGGATTCAGTGTCCAGCGTAGAACTATGCCCACCTTCTATTTTCTTTTTATACATCTAATGTTTCTCTTTCTGAAAGTTGACCTTCTTGCTATTCTGAGGCACTATATTTGATTTTGGTATATTTTGTTTCTCTCTAAATGGGGCTAGATGGCATGATCTGGTTTACAAAGACTTTTACTTATTAAGCCAGTTGACTCTCATTACTGATTTTTTTAGCTCCAGTGGTTCAGTTCTTGCTCCTGCCTTGATTCTCATAGGGTAACTGCTTTTTTATTGACAGTGAACCACTTTATTTAAAATAAAGAACATCATGGGTGTTAACGCATCCTTACAAGTTAATCAGAACTCCCCATTCCCACAGCAATTTAAAACATCGTAGCACATGTAAATCACCTTGCAGGTTTCCCAAGGGGGCTCCAAACCAAACCATTATAAACCAATCCATATGAAAACTTTCAGCTCCTCTTTCTCATTCATCCCATTTGCTTCATATTCATGTGCTTCCCATTATCCATGTTTCCTGTTTCTAATCATGACTGTGGGTAAAGAAATGGTAACGGGACTATGCTGATAGACATGGGAAATTTTCTGGGAGTTTTCTGGGAGTCTCCACTATTGATGGATTGCAAGTTCCGTGTTTGCCTCTCTCTTAGATGTGGAAGAGTATGTCTTAGAAAGCCATTTTTATTTTTAGAAATTCTGCTGGCCTCAGTCAGAGTTTCTAAAGTAAGGCTGAAAGTTATGCACCTCTATTCAGAAGTAAATCAAATGGAATGAAATGGGATTTTCTGCCAGGTAAGTGTGTATAGGATTGCATACCTGGTTGATTTAATTGGTAGACAAAATTGTAATCAGCACTGTACTGAAGATTGATCAGTTAGATCTTTCAAATGTAAATTAGCAATTATATTAGGGGGATCCATTGCCTTAGATTTGCTTATGTTTGGTTTTCGTCCCTCCCCCCGATTATGCTGTTTGAGTGCCCTCTTTTTTTTTTTCTGAATTAATCTCATGAATCATTCCATCCAATTGAAGATCTCTTTGTGAAGGGAGAGATTTCACAAAGCTTACATGGCCAATGAAATGTGGCTGTATGGTGACATCCCTGAAGACAAGTGTCAGCAATTTAAACAAAAGGGAAAGTTTTCAATGAAGGAATGTTGAATAGTCTTGAACAAGTACCCTACATTTTAACTCGGCACTGTTTAAACTATTATGAATAATAAGCCACCATTTGGGTTCAACTTTAGTTATAAAAGAGGGATCAGTTTTGGAATTTAAGTTCTGAGGTTATTTGAAATTGAAAACAGAAGAAGGAGAAGAACGTAAAAGCTTAATTTGGAGCAAATGTATCAAACCGGGGCAACCATGGGCTTCATCCACTTAATTGCACCCATTTTTAACTTTTATTATGGCAAATTTCTGTTCACTGTGTCTGCATACCAAGAAGATGCGGGGGGGGGG